GGCCGTGTTGAGGGTTTCATCGTCTGTTTTCTCAGTTCCTAGTGTCTGTGGGTGAGGACATCGAGGTCCAGAAGGGCGGGTCCCTTGCCCAAGTCATGTAGTTGGTGAGGGGCAGAGCCAGAGCCACCCTCAGTCATCAGTCTGACTCCACACTGTGTATGGCTTTGCAGAAGGGTTCTTCATTGGAGTCTTTCAGACAGACTCCCACCAATGTACTTGACTTGAAAAATTTATTTTGAGCAGAAAGTCTTTGAGGTTGCAAAGCTAGGTGAAGAAGCTAAGCCATATTTTGTAAAATATTCATGCTTAGAAGAATGTCTTATTTCTGCTTTCCTCACACATCAGAAATATACATGGGTGGAAAAGGAGAAGCGGTGAATTTAAATGTGAGTGAACAGTAGGATAATTGTTAAACTTCACTCATCCATTCGTTTTTAACTTGTGCTCCTTTGCATGGAATTGGTGGTGTTTTGTTTGACAGGATATTCTGAGGTTGCTAGTCCTTCTTAGAGCAACTTGAATGTGTTGAGAATAACAATTCCAAATGAAAATTGCTGTTCACGTTAAGGAAAGCCGTGTAATTGGTTCATTCTTTGCAAAGCTAAAAGTAAATGAGGGCTTGGACCAGAGGCTGGAGGGAGGTGGAGGCTTCCTCTACAAACCTCTGTAGGAAGAGACACAGCTGCAACTGGGAAATGCAGACACAGGCAACATCTTAAAATTCCCTTTTCTGAAAGGAAACATTCTTAACTGTAACTGATTCTAGAAACTCTGAACTGAATTTTTGTCTTTGAAGTGCAATTGTGTTGTGCCACTGAGTGTAAGATGACAGGGTCAGTAGGGCCACCCATCCTAAAAGACCACATGCATGGGTCACCGAGGGCCCCAGGACAGCCCCAAGAGAAGATGGGGCTCCTGGCAGCCATGATGTGTTCCAGCAAACCAGAGAAGAATAAGGTGAAACCTCAGCATTAAAAATAATGGTCAAACCCATTAAATAATATTATATAAAATTGAGCTTTACATCTGAGTGCATTTTTATTTAGGAAATAATTGAATGGTGTCTTAAGTAAATATTTTACTTCTGTTTCCAAAATCTCTGGTTATATTACTGCTCTGTGATAATTTAATTTTCATTCACTTAAGAAATGTTGTTTTCTTAAGGCATTATCTGGATTGCCTTCTTGCATTATTTTGGATAAAATCCATATTCTTGCATTTCTATTGCGTCTTCTCTCTCCATGAGTACCTTGTCACTGGAAGGCAGCATTTCTGGTGGCTTGTGAATGCATTTTAAAATCAATTTACAGAATTGATTTCTGGAGTAAAGCATTCTCCAGATTGAGATCTGTATGTGAGGCCCTGGTTTCTGGAAACGGAGGTTGTGCTTTTCAGATGAGATTGCAGCATGTCCACACTAAGGCTTCATTCTCTCCTGCGCATGTCAGTACACTTAGTGGGGTAAGAGCCTCTGGCTGTGACCAGCATGAGCCCTTGAGGAATTCAGTATAAACCTAGACCTGTGATTGGACGGGATTTCGGTACATTGACCTTTACTTACGTTGGCCAAAAGAGGGGGACACAGACCAGGGAATATGACTAACAGTTAAAATATTTATTGATACTGTATAGTTCAGGGTATTTTTGTTCACATAATTCTAATATATGAAGTAGAATCCACATACTTAACAGCTGTGACTTTATGCAAACTTGAGGCAAATCATAGGAAGCTGTACTAGTAAAAGCAGGTTGAACTAATGCTTATGATTAATGCCTGTCAGTATATATTGCGTTGTTCAGACACCTACAAGTCTGAGGTAACATTCAAGCTGAAAAGAGAAAAGAAAAGAGAACAAAGGAAAAGAAATAGTTCTTGAAACTTTTACTGTTCTATGTGAAGATACAGTATCTGGTTTTCAGTTTGGTTGGGGTATGCAATCAGTCACTTAGACCTAAAATCTAGTCTGTAAAAAAATCCCATAACATATTGAATTTCTTACAGATACTTGCCAAAGAGCAGAAGAATTTTAAATTTTAAATGTGCAGTGCCGGGCTGGGGATTTAGCTCAGTGGCACAGTGTCTACTTGGCAAGTGCAAGGTTGTGAGTTCAATTCCCGGTACTGGAGAAAAACCAAAAAAATAAAAAATAAATAAAATAAAATAAATGTGCAGTGCCAGTGTACCAGTGGTGTTAGTGATTCCATCTTTATCTTTCTTTTCCCCAGTTCTAAAGCTGTGTGTAATACTGAGGAACACGTTTCTGTGGTTAAGTATAACAATCAGAAAAGATACATGGATATGTACCTGTGAAACCTCAGGCTCGCTTTCCTTCACAGCAATAAGGAAGCCAGATGTTCCACCTCATTCAGCAGCTAATTCAGAGTTACGCTCAATTGGCTGCTTTTTAAAGAATAAAAAAAAAATTCATTTAACATTAAAATTAATTTTTTTTTTTTTTGCTTCTGCAAGCTGTTTGGAATCCTAGAGCATGTCAGGTTTATCATCTGTAAATTTGTAAACTCCCAGAAAAAAAATTAGTATGCTATGTTACACTGCCTAGTGGCTGTTGTGAATAAGTAGGAATAGTGACATTGGAATTTATGCGAGTAACTAAATCTTTCTCTCTATATCTAGCTCAGTAGATTTTGAGGACTTTTTTTGAGATCAAGATCTAACTTCGATTCCTACACACTCCTAGTTTCCTATAATATCTTGGAAGCACATCTAATTTTAGCTTCCTTTACAATTTTATGATTCAATACAAAGTTTGTATTTTTGATGAAAACATAGTCAAGTAATGTGACACAGAATCTAGAGGAAATGGTGACTGCAACCTAGTACCCTGTTTTTGTAGCAGAGTTTTAGATTCTCAGATTTTTTCTTTCCCCCCTCTCTCACATTTTACTTGTTTTTCTGTTAGTAGTACATTTGCAGCAGCGAGTAGATGCATGTACTTAGCGCGCTGATTCTTTTTATTCCCCTCCCCCCACCCGCCTCTCTTCATCTCTAGGCCCTCTTTCCCCATTTTCATGGCTGTTGCTTATTTTTTTCTTCATGTTTGCAACATGTAATGATTACATTCACTGAAGGCATTTGGTCCATGTACATGATACATCCTAAGTCTTTAATATACTTTACTTAATCAGTTTGTATCTAAAATACTATTTCAAAAGCTCATGGAGCTCATTTTCTCATACAGTTTGAGCAAGGTGATAGCTGTGCTTACTAAATGACATGTGCTCCCTTGCCAGTGCAGATCGCGGTGCCTGAAGAAGCAGCACAGGTAGTATAACTGAGGCTCTTCCATAACCTCGCCCTGGGACATCAGCTCCTGATGAGCAAGGAATTGAACAACCTGCTCTTCCCTGGTGCTCAGCTTCGTACCGCTGATGTAAAACCAGTCAAGACACGTAGGCGGTTGTGCAGAAGTGTTTGATGCAGAGTACTGCCTTCAAGGGCAAGGCAGGCAGCACCAGGAAGGCATCTGCACCCAGATGCCTTTGGGTATATTTTTATGCACAGGAGAGTTACTCTTGGGGCCCGGGGGAACTGGGGTTTTTATAATGATTACCAACATTGTATTTAAAGGTTACTTTGGAATTGCAAAATGTCTTCCTATCCCTTTTAGATGGTCAGTGTTTCCCCAGGGGCTTTAATCATGTAAGGAACTCATAAAAGATGTTTTTAATTTAGACCAGTTCCCAGCCCAAGGCAGAGGGTCTTTAAAGAGCATTTCCTTTCTTGATACCATTGAGCTGTAGGCTACCGCAAGCAGGAATGCAGTGTGCCTTGTTCTAGAGTTCGATGGCCAGGTGGCCAGGTAGAAGGACTGTGCACTGTCATTAAAATGTCATTGTGCTCTGTGGAGTCGCTTTGGATTTGAGACCTAATAGATGGTTATAAATCTGTAACAGATTGATGTCTCTGTTCTTTAATTAACTAGCAGTGAATACTACTTTGGGCCCCACCCCATTTGTCCTTTGGGCCTGCCAATGTCTTAACTATCTAACACAACCCCCGAGTGCAGTTTGACCGATACCTACATCAGTCTATACCATTTCTTTTCATTATTACTAACCAGGAGAAGACTTGTCTTTCTTCATTGATTTTCCCCTGCCTAGAGTCGAAGGGAAGTGCTAATGAGTAATGAAATAGCCTAAGGCAGACAACAGGGAGGGGAACAGTAATTTGATTAATCGGTCTCTCCTGAATAATCAGGATGTTATAATATCCTGTGATACATCTGAATAACTAGGATTTTTTTTCATTAAAATAAGGCTTCATTTTATCTAACAAAAAGAGTGTACATTCTAATTGACTTTGAGATCAATGTCTTTTGGAAAGGACGTTAATTACTACTCTATTGAATTCTTTAATTACTTACTGATTGTCAGTTTCTAACCAGTCTGAAATAGAAAATGAAACAATTGCCTTCTTAAATTTTTATCTGGCTACTGCACCATTGTGTTTGTTGTTGTTTTGTTTTTACTTTTCTCTCCTATCTACAAATACTTGACTATAGGCTTCCCTGAGACTTTCTCATTCTCTTTATACTCAGGTGAGACTTGCTTTCACTCAGATCCTTTGCTAATGCCTTGCTCAAGCCCTAAACCCACTGTTCCCCCTCTTTTCATATTGAAGGTTGTTTATTTCTGCAGTTCCCCGGGTAATATTTTTGGACCACAGTTGGCCGTGGGTAACTGGAACTGTAAAATTGCCAGTTAGAGGGAACCACTGGCCTATATAAATTGTCTGTTTATTATGTTAATTAAATCTTTTATAATATAGTCACATTTGCCAGTTGTAGTGGACTTGTCACTTCTCCAGAAATTTTAAGACCCTCAGATTTGGAACAGTCTTTTGCACATGTTTTCTGGTAAATATCTGTACTTAGACCTTAGCAGATAAGTTGATTACTTCATTGAAAATGTTGTTGCTTAGCATTTTTTCCAAGTTTGTTTTTGAAATATTTAAGCCTTGTCTCTTTTTTCTCTCCTAGAAAGTCATTTTTTAAACACACGTTCAACTTCATGAACCTGAAGAATTTTGATCATTTCGAGACTTAATGCCACACCACTACTCCAGCAAATTTGTGCTACGGCTGGTAACAATGACCAGAAGCCTGAAGAATTAAAATGCCAACACCAAACCTTACCTTAACAGCTCTGGTCTATACTGTTTCCCTGCGTTTTTAATACGTTACTTTGTTTTATAACCACTTCTAAATATTCTTGGTTCTTTCTCCCCCAATTAAAGGGTTTTGATTTTGTTTTCTATTTACTTTGTGTACAACTACCTGCTTTTTATAACCCATTTGCTCACATGACAGTGAACAAAGCCAGCATGGGCTGGTAAGGTGCTGTTCACTTGAACAGGTGCTGTTGTGCAGAAAGGAAACTCTGTGACTAATTTAGATAGTGGTTTCCTCCTTCCAGATTCTTCCCATTGAATTCTTACAGTAAATATTTACAGAGTTTTCAGATTGCAGTCAATATACTGTCTGAGAAAATATTAATACCAATTAAAAGCATTTCTTTCATCTTGAAAATTGTCTAATGTTTGAGAATTTCACTGGAATGTCTTTTTATATTGAACCCTTTTGACTTTCCAGTCGTGTGACTTTTTACTTGCTGTAGAAAGTCGGAGACTCTCCAGACTGGAGAATTATGAAGTTCACTGACCACGCACTGTGTTCAGAGACCCTGTGGCACCAGAGTGCCAGTGCTTCTCAAACACATGCTCTTTGACAGCGTCCAGAGCAGGAGGGAGCGGGGGAGACAGCTGTTCCTTCCCTCCTACTAAAAGAGCCAGGCAGCTTAAAACCTTAGTGCTTTCCTTCTTAACATTTCCCAATTCCAGTTCCTTTCATTATCTGAACACATGGGCAGTACCCTTGCTTTTTATTAAATCTCCTTGTCTATATGTAAAACTGACCTTTTGTTATTGAGCAGATATATCTCTTTCAGATAGCTTGATGATTCGTACAGATTGAGGATGCTGGGGAGAGGAGTAGGGGGCCACGGTGGTTTTTTGGTTGACTGTAAGGAAGCTAAACCATTTAAAGCTGACACCAGAGGCCTGATAGGGATTTATTAACTGTATTGAACATTTTCCCCTTGCTTTTGACCCTATGTATAGTTATGATGCCAGATTAGATTTATAGCCGCTTCAAGTTGTATTAAATGATATTTTGCTTTCTGTAATACTGTTATAAAATAAAGTTTGTTTATTCTCTAAACGTGTCACTTCTCTTTTTATAACGTCTTAAAAAATAAACTGGAGTGATGTTTTTCATCAGAAGCCCTAGTATTTTGTGGAATGTAGCATTTTGCAGTTCTGTTTTCAGCTCTGTTTTAGCATTTGACGACATTGCCAGCATCACTGATTTGAAGTGGTGAAAGCAGTGTTGAAAGTTTGCAAATCTAATGTTCAGCACACCGGATTCTTTCTGCCTGCTTACATAATGCACCCTGGGCTGTTACACGTTCTCCAAAGGATATTTTTGCTTGCTTGCTTTGTGTACTTTTTGTTTTGTTTTAGGAAATATTTTAGCTGTCTCATCTGAATCCTGTTTCACGTGTACACTGTGCCTTAATGTGTCAGGCAGACCAGTCCCTGCTGAGGGCCGTGTCCAAGTGTATTTGGGATGCTTCCTTGTGAAGCCTTTGCCAAGGCACATCAGATTATGGGCTTAATTTTCTTTTAAACGTACAGCAAATGGCCAACAGGGTATATTCCTTTTTGAAATGTTATATAGAATTTCTCTCTGTAACCATTCGAAGTGAGTGTGTTAAATATAATTTGCATAACTGTCATCTTTGAGATCTGTTCCCACTAAATTATCTCGCAACTTGTGAAAGGCCTTTCTCACTTTCCCTGTAATTGTTACAAAAACAACAGCTCTCTGGAGAAGGCTGTCTCTGCAAGCCAAGCTGGGGAAATGTTGTGGAACCAAGTGTGATTCTGTAAATACATTTCTCATCACAGGGCTTGTGATATAACATTCATATTTAAATCCAGGACCTTCCCAGGCACTTGAAAACCGTGTTCCTCGCTCCATCTGAGAAAAGCATGATAGAAAGTTTGTCTGGAGTGCGGGGGACTAGGAAGCGCTGCACACAGTCAGGGCTTACCGTGGTCCAGCGGAGACGGCAAGGGCGAGGACAGCCTGGGATCCTGGCAGCAGGGGGACTGTCCTGCTGATCTAGGACCCAAAGAAATACTCAGAGCAGTGTTGGGAGTTATTCCCGCTGGTGATGTCAGTACAGCTCTGTTGCTTACCATTTTACATCTCAGGATGTCATCGTCTCACTGGTAAACAGCTTTCAAAGCCCCAAGTGATAAATAGGAAAGGAGACTAACAAGGTTTTGAGATACAGATTTAAAAGTTTTCAAACAGGATATTTTTAAATTCCCAGTCTATTTGATGGTAATTATAAATCAAAAATTTTGAATACATGTTTCCTCCTTCATTCTGTCACTCCTAAGCCAAGATAATATGCCGTTGTGTAGATCCGATAGGACCTCAGAGGCCTCTTCTGATCATCTCTGCAAGTCGGTGGCAGACCACCTCTGTCAACACCCAGATTCCCCACACCGGCAACAACAGAAGCGGAAAGCTTGATTTGGGTTAGCCCTGTAAAGTATTGGCAGATTTTCACTGACAAATAATGGTAGTGTGACAGAACTAAAGCATCCATTGAAGAGTTTTATTGAAAGTTTCAAATGGAGGCAGTTATCTCTAATGTTCTACTGTCTGAGCTATTTCAGATGCAGAACTGTTGGGTTGAGGCCATTTCAGGTGGTGAGATTTGTGATCTCTAACCAGAAGCTTTGGAGCATAGGAGAGAACTGAGTGTAGGGTAAGGTGAGGAGACTGAGGCCAGGTCCAGATGGAGACAGCTTGTTTGGGCAGAAGCTGTAAAGATGGCTGAGCTTGAAAGCAGCCTGTAAGCCTGTGAAGACGTGTGACCATGCACCTGCTTGGCCGTGCTCAGCAGACGACTGACATTTGCTAGCGGTGCCTTTCAAACACGATAGTGAACTTGGGACTTGTTCTCTCTGTGGGAAAACTTAACATGTTAGTGGTCCTCCACATTAAAAGGAAGCTCATGAATCTACAATGTTTTCATTGGATATTCTTTACTCCCACCTTAGTGGCAACAAAAGAGGTCTTGCCTTAAACTACTTGGTTATGCTTGCTGCAGAGAACATGCATGATTAAAGCTCAGCTGTTAGCACCACGGCTCAGACCGTGGGCAGGCAGCCACCAGAGGCAGAACTCGGGCTTCCGAAGGGCCTATTTCTGGAGGAAGATGGAGTAAACGCTGGTGACTGAGCCTCAGATTTGCCTGGCAGCTGCCTGCAGTGGGAATATGAGGCATCCTTTCACACCTTCTGTTAAAGAAAGCATTTTTACACAAGTTGATTCTACCCGGGGCTAAAAAGAGATCCTTCCCCAAACTGAAGAACCATGTTATTTCTTCCATATGGCATGAACACTGTTATAAATTACCTCCATCTGAAAGTGCTAGCAGACATTTGTAACTGAGCACTGGGAAATGGAGAAGTTCCTTCAGTTGGACAATGAGTTACTTTATGCAAACACTGCTCACAACGCAAAGCATTTTAGGGTGTGGCAAGACATACTGGCATTAGTGATGCCTATTTGCTTTTTGTCATCCACACAGTCTTACCTGACTGACTCCCAAAATTGGTGCATTTCTTACAGGTGACCAAATTTACTTCACACAGTGAATCACTAATAGCCTGGGAGAGTCATGTGGGAAAACTGAAATACAATCAGATTTAGGTCGTACCGAATGTCTTCTATTCCTGTTAACTAGATATATGGGGAGAACACAATAATAACCATAATCTGTTTTAACTAGGACCTTGAACGAAATATTTCTTTTCAGTTATCTGTGTTGGCTCAGAGAGAATTCTGCAAGTGAAATGTTGACTTCTTTCTGTATTTAGGGTTAGTTCTCTGGTGTTTGGTTTTACAGGCAAAGACTTGCATTAATTTTGTCTGGAATTATGTGAACATTCTATTCTTTCCTTTTCCCAGCCTCAGTTTGTCGGTATTTCCGGGTCACATGCTGAGAGCAACATCGGTGAGCGATCCATGCATCGTATTGGGAGAATCTGCTCGTTTTTGTCACAGTGATGATTTGTGAGCGTACTTAGGAAACGGAGAGATGCAAACTCCTCTGCTGCCAGATGAGCAGGCTGGAGGCCTGTCCCTGGGTCATCCACAGGGTTCTTCCCAGGGCTCTCACCCTTCGCTGTTCACTTGCTCCCTACCAGTTCCCTCGCCTCTAACAGTAATGTGGGCTTCTGTGGGATTATGCAATAATGATGCCCCAGAATTTCATTTTTAAAAGATGCCTTTCAAAGTAAACATAGCTGTAATAACAGTAAAGCGTCATGTGTCCAGTCCATTGAGCATATCCAACAAAGTTTCAGGTTCTTGGCACGTCCTGAAGAGCTGCCTTTAAAGTTGAGTCTCACAGAAGACACTCCTCAGTGTGACTCAGAACAGCCCTCTTTCTTTTCCTTTCCTGCTGCCATTTTAGTTACCAGTCTATTTTATTTTATTTTATTTTATTTTTGTCTTTTTGAGACAGGATCTCGCTATGCGGTTCAGGCTGGCCTTGAGCTCACTTTGTAGCCCAGGCTGGTCTCCAACTTGCAATGATTGTTTTGCCTCAGCCTCGTGAGTGCTGAGATTGCATGTGTGCGCCACCATGCCTGGCTAGTCTACTTTATTAGCTCAAGTGTGGACCATTCATCTGTGATCAGAGGCTCATTGTGCTTTAGCCATTGATCCATTCCAACGGTCACCTCCGTTTCGTTCGCCGGGCCAGGGGAGAGCAGCCCTTGCACTTGGGTTGGCCATCAGGAGTCGGAGACAGTTCTTCATTTACTGAAAGGAAAAATACCAGTTAATAATTTGGAGAGAGCTGTCATTGGTCCTTGACAGCTCATCAGTGGCAGCTGGCCACTGTTCATGATGCTTGTGGCCCTGGTGAGTTAGAGAAGCCCCGGCTTCAGGGCAGGTCCTGTTGTAGGATCCCTGGGCTCTGCCACTTCTAAAGAATGGGCCTGGTTAGAGTAGACACATGCCCACTGTCATAAACATTGTCACATGCTAAGCATATCTTACATTCAGATGTTGTTGATTAAGACCCTTATACTCAGTAAGCCTTTCAAAAACGTGTAGGGCAGCAATTGGAAATGAGTAAAACAGAGGTTCTACCCTGCTTCCTGTCCCCAAAAGAATTTTTATCAAAAAATTAGTCTTCTCTCTTAGCTTTTGGCAACCTCTTACAACCGTTTCAACTTTTCACAATCTCCCCATTCTTGTAACCCCTTGCAACGTAGCTTCAGATGTTAAAACTCATTGATGTCATCGTAATTACTCCTTTTTACAAAATCTAGAAGCATTTTTTAATTCTCTGTTTTGTTTTGTTTTTTGTTTTTCTCTGGTACCAGGAACCGAACTCACGACCTTGCACTTGCCAGGCAGGCGCTTTGCCGCTGAGCTAAATCCCCAGCCCCTTAATTCTTAATTCGCCTCTGTACTACGAGGCACAGGCCCCTTCTCTGTCCATCCTCCACCTTTTGTTATATACCATCTTTCTGTAAACTCTTAGCCTCACCTGCAGCTTCAACTAGTATCTCTGACAATAACCAAATTAGGCCTGAGCTTAGATCTCAACACATATTCCTTGGGATGTTCCTGGTCCATCAAAAACATCCTGGCTGCCACCAAAACACAACTAAATGACCCTACTTTTACCTTCAAAATTTTTATTTTCAGAATTACAACTAGTCAAATCATGCCATAGACCAGGACTTTCTAGTTGCATGGGTGGTACAACAAACACGTTGATGGAATCAAACATGAAATGTTCTCTTTAGGTCCCATATGAAATACGTGCAATTTATCCTTGCTAAATACTTCATATGCTGTGCACCCCAGGAGATACATATTCTTCCTAGCCTGGATTCTTCTGGCCTTCAGGAATGCCTGCCTCACTCAGGAGAAGATGCATGTGTGGAGAGGAGGGCAGCCCTCAGCTACATGAGCCTCAAGATTTGCTAGGCAGTGCTTGTGCAGCCCTTGCTATGTGCCAGGTACAGCGTGGGGCCCATTGCATGAGCTATCCTGTCTAATTTTTTAAACAAAGAGACCAATGTTCTTTTTTTTCTTCTCTAATTCTTGCAATGACATAAGCTAGTCACCAGTATATTTTTAATTTAAAGATCAGCAGTCTGAGACAGGGAGAAATCTGGATGAAGCAATTTTCTGAAGACCACAGAAAACAATGAGTTCAGGATTTGACCCCAGGCAGTCTGACTTCAGAGTCAGACTGATCGTTCAGCACCAGGTTACATGGCCTTTCCCCACAACTTACTGCTATTTCAAAGATACTCCTTGGAAATGGCCCATGGCTTAGACTATGAACTCACTGAAATATGAGCAGTTGCTTCCTTTTCATTCTAAATTACCAATGGTTAACTGAAGACCAGGTGCTGTGAACAAGGAACCAGCAAAGAAATCATAGAGCTGAAAACAGGAGACCTCAATAAGACTGAAAGAAGAGAACTGTAAGAGCAGAGAAGAAAAATAGAGGGAATAAGAGGAAGCTCATCCATCTACAATGAGTCTCCATCCAGTGAATAAGGCCCCATGGAGAGAGAAAGAAATAAAATAGCATAGCCTCCTCTACAAGAGCTTGCGGTCGGGCCAGTGCTTTATTTCAGTGCATCTGTTGAGGGTTTGCAGAGAGATGTTAGACAAGATAGGTGGCCTTGAAAACATGTGAGTTTGCTCTTGTGGGAAAGTCTGCAAGCAGTGAGGTTTATTTTCCTTCTTGGGCCTTGAGTGCAGAAATATCTCTCTGACTGAGGGGGTAGATCATTATGTTAGGAACCACCATTAATAATAATTACTCCTCCTATAAAAATTCAACAACTCCTTCACAGCTTTTGTGAACTTCATGCCTTACTTAAAATTCTTCCAGTTGGGTACTTTTGTTTTATTATTATTATTATTATTATTATTATTATTTTGTCTTTTTGAGGTAGGGTCTCACTATGCAGTTCAGGCTGGCTTTCAATTCACTTTGTAGCCCATGCTGGCCTTGAACTCACAGCAACCCTCCTGCTTCAGCTTCCCCAGTGCTGACATGCTGGGATTACAGGTGTGTGCCACCACACCTGGCTCCCCAGTTGTTTCTGAAGCTGGTCAGAAGTTTGTTTGCCTGGGCCAAAAGATTCACTCATTCAGCAGATACAATATTCGGTGTTTGAAACTCCCGTCCTGTGTGTTGGCAGAGAGGCATAGTTCCAGAGTCAGCAGCCAGGGCTGAAATCCTGCCTCTGTTATTTTCAAGGTAACATAAGGTAATTTGCTTAATTATTTTTTAAGGCAATTTTAAACACAATAGCTGTCATTATAATGACACAAACACTGCCTTCTTGGAATTTATAAGCCACCAGGAGTAATGATGACTAACAGTTGTTCAGAACAGGCACTGTTAAGAACCTCGTGTGTATCGCCTCACTTAATCCCCACACCGGTGCTCTAGCTTGACCCTGCGGCTATTTCTGTTTTACAGACCAGGAAGCTCAAGCTTCAAAAGATTGGAGGACCATGGTTACAGAGCTGGAATTCAAACTCTATTTGGCTTAACTCCATTTCACTCAGCTAAATCTTCGTTCATTCTGATCTTTTCACATAGCTATTTTTTTTCTATTTTGATTGCTGGCCACTAACATGTACATAAGAAAATGCTTAGACACTCTGTACAGTTTCAATATTTCAGTTGTCTGACTTAGAATGAAAATTGTGAAAGGCCAGAACATGATCAAATATCTTTTTTGATTGTTGTTTATTTATTTATTTATTTTTTTGAGACAGGGTCTTGCTATGTACCTCAGACTGGCCTTAAACTCACTATGTAGTCCAGGCTGGCCTTGAATTCGTGGCAATCTTCCTGCCTCAGCCTCCAGAGTGCTGGGATTACAGGCGTGTGCCACCATGCCCAGCTTCAACTACTTTACTTTGGATCTAACCTCATGCAAATTCTAAGGCATCCAATAGACACAATGTAAACAATACTAATATTGGCAATTTGGTTATTTTAGAGAATGATTTGCTCTTTGATGATATTTTGGGGGCTGGGTGGCATTACAAGTAGAGTTTTAGAAATCTCAGGACTGGTGCGGGGGAGATAAACTTCCCCAGGGGATGTAACATGAGGATGTCTTGGTTGGTGAAGGGTTTGCACATGGAAAGTTTGAGACGCAGACCTCCACCCTAAGAGCTACTTCTCAAGGCAGCTGACAGCTTGAAGAGTGCAGGATGTTGGAGAATTTTCTCTCTTCCTTTGTGTGAAAATTGATGTTCTCTACCTACTAATTAAATTTACATGCACCATTACCTCCTAAGGCTTGAAGACTAAGGATTAGTGTTGAATGATTATAATACCTCCACATGCTTTTCATCACGTCTTAGAAAGGCTCTCTTGTCTGATGGTCCAGGATGTATGAGAGAGGCAAGCTGGTTTTCTGTTTTAGCATGCAGGACTCTGGGGCTCTGCGAGCACACCAGTAAATCTGTCAATGTCCCTCTCTTTACAGGGACAAAATAGGAATGATTACACTTGCCACATCCCTGGCTGGAAGATAAATGATGTGACATTTGCCCATCTGTTTACAGTTTTTAAGTGAGTGTTGCTAAATGGAGATACAGACTTGTGATATTTTAGCTTGGGCCAAGTGATCCCATTTTCATTGGCTCCCAAACTGCAGAGAGAATATTACTACTTCTCCTTAGGAAAATGGTGACAGAAGAACAAGCATTTTGAAACAACAAGCTTCAGATGAGAATGCCAATGCATGACGTGGCCGACGAATGCACAGATTTTTGTTATGCCATGACGGAGACGCCTGTGCTTTCTGGCTTCTCCTGTGCTCCCTACCTCCGTATAACCTGGAAGCTCAGCATACTTCGGTGAGAACCAGCGAACATAGGTGCCACTGGACAAGGTGGCTCCGTGCATTGCTGATCCTGCCTCTGGTGAGAGGGCTCAGTCTGATATTCAAGAAAGAAAGAATAGATCATTCTTCAGTTTTTCCCCCAGATATTGACTGAGGCCAGGGTCAGAAACAGATTCGTAACATCTTTAACTTTTGATGATGCTTTTGTCAGATGTCTTTTATGGTTTCCTTTTTCTTTCTTTCTTTTGTTCTTTTTTATTTTCTTCTTTTTTTCCTTAGTGTCGAGGATGAAACTCGGGTCTGCGCACTTGCTAGGCAAATGTTCTACCACTGAGCCACCTCTCCAACCTTGGGTGGTTTTCTAGGGCTGAGATTGTTCTCTTTCCATGGTGAAAGCCCATAGTAAAAGTCTGTTCTGGTGTCTAGGACAAACCCTGGTGTATGGTACAGCTATGGTTCAGTTTGCCAGCAAACTTCATGTTGCAGTTCAGTCTCGACTGAGATGGTAAGTGGGGCCAGGTGCAACCTATAGGAGGAGGCGGTCGGGTCGTGAGAACTCTGCCTCCATGAGCAGAGTGGTTAGAGGGGGTCTGTTATAATAATCAGCTCATCTCTGTGTCTCAGGTGCGCCCGTCTCACCAGGGGATGCTCTGCCTTGGGGCCCTGTCAAGAGTGCCCACCATCAAGGAGACCCTCACCAGACGCAGCGCCTGAACTTGGACTTCCCAGACTCCAGAACCGGAAGAAATTAATTTCATTTCCTTATAAATTATCCAGCCTATAGTATTCAATTATAGAGAAAGAGAGCAGACTAAGGTAGGTAGATTCACAAATATTAGTCAAATGCACAAATGAAAACTATTGTGATAAGAAGTCTGGTGCATGTTGGCAGAAAGCTTGAAAATTGTTCAAAGGATTCTACCCAGAAAGTGGATGAGGCTGACATCTTGCTGCCCCTTGGGCTGGATCCTATGCTGCAAAAAGCAGAGGCTTTTAGGGGAAGGAGTCACAGTGGTGAGACGGGATGAGCTCATCAGCCTGTCAGAATCTGGACTGAGGGAAGAAGGAAGTATGAAGGAAGGCTGTTTCTTTGGTGCCTTCCGTTCTTTCCTCTGGGATCCTTCACTAGCAGTTCCAATTTTACAGAGCTAAAGCTCAAGGTATAATTTTTGTCTGTTGTTTGTTCGCCGGACAGCTTTCCTGGGCAGGACTGTGCTGAAGACAGAAGACAGCGAAGTGCAAATAATCACAGTGGCATGCACTCTTTGAGCACTTCCCTGGGTAAGGCAGTAGCGGGGCATGTACTCCTGACTGTGACGTAAATTTTCTGGAACATTCTGAAAGCTCATGATGTGCTTATACCATACAGTAATCTAAATAAAGTACTGTAAACTCACTTATGTTTTTTACACATTAACAGATATTTTCCCAGGGCTAAATAAAGCTTTAAAAACCCAGATCCACCTTCTTTGGCAGTCTGCCCCAAATGTCAGATGTCCCACTAAATTATCTGATCTATAATAACTGATAGGCAGAGGCCAGTGAGACTTTGAAACCCACAAAACGATCTTGACCTTATTCATGCTTCATACATGTTTTTTTGAGATACCAAAATTTTTATCTTGCCAAAGAAGCAGCTGGAGATAGAACTTGGGAACTACATGAAGTGTTCAAATTCCCGATGGTGACATCCACATCTTTTATGCTCCCCAGGGTGCTTGGTGTCAGGGTGGGAGGGCAGGGCAGCCTGGGATATATGAGACTGACAAGGGTCACTAAACAACCGCGAACTTACTTCAGCAAGGAAATTGCGCAGTAGCTGGGTATTAAACCAACTTGAAAGACTGAAGGAGAGTGATAGCCGGGATCTTGGAGATTGACCCTGATTTCCTCTTCCTTTTCTGAAGTAAAATGATCATGAGTGGCTGAGTAGCAGAAAATTCAGCAGACTGGTCTTGGGGAATGGAAGCTGAACTGACTTAATAAGGAGAAGGACTTTCGTAGGCTTCTCACAGAATGACAAGGACTATAGCTTAATCACCCAACAGGAGGGCCGTTCATAAAAATGAGATGTACACACAAAATGAAAATGGGTGTGTGAGTGCTTAAAATGCAAAACTTGGGACTCAGTAACACACTGTATGTCCTGTAGGATTTTTCTATGTTCTAAATCTCATCATAGACATAAATATCCCTAATTGCTCTGCCATTCAAGTCTAGGTCATACATTATGGCATCCATCTGAATGACGGATATTGATATTGCTAAATAAGGATTGATATTGCTAAATAAGGATTAACCCCCATGGTATCTAATGTTTACTGGATACAGAATTAACATGCAATCTACCTAATCACAGCCCAGTTTTATCAATTTTAATAGCATAGTCTCAATCTGAGATCCAAATGATCATTCATTCCAAGACACCCTGAGCTTTCAGAAGTATACCTGCCCGTTCTTTCTCACCGAAATACCATAAGCTCATGGGAAGTTTATGCCAAAGTCGATATCTATTTATTAGGGGTTTACATTTGCCAAACACTGTGATAGCTCAGTGTTTGGAACCTTTCCTGCTTAGAAGTTCGGTAGATGAGAAGCAGTGAATCTACCCAGTTATGAGTGCATACACACGCAGAGACACGCACAGGGACACGCACGCACACGCACATGCACACACACACACTGTCCCATATAGAAGGCAGCCTATGAATAATATTTTGATGTTTCCAAGTCTTCTGCCTCAAGGACAGAGAGGAGAGGAGGCCTCCTTGCTGGCTCTCCTGCTAAAGGCCTCTGGTCCCAGCTCGGTCTGCAGTGCTGGCTGGGCCGCTTCCCGAGGGCGCCTCGGCCTTGGGCGGACAGGGCTCAGTGACAAGCGGAGTCCGGCTTCCCGTCCCTGGTGGGGCGCGTGTCTGGAAGGTTTGCTGCCTGGGGAAGGCCGCCTAGACACGCAGGCAGTGTTTCACTCACCCTCCAGCAGGCTGACCCTGAAGCAGGCGATAAGGAGGAAAAGCAGCAGAGCCCCGGGCAGGAAGACCCCCGCGAACAGGAACCCGCTGGGGAGCTCCCGCAGGAAGGCGGACAGCACCGGGCCCACGGTCAACTGCATGGGCTCTGGGGACCCAGGACTCCGAAGCAAGCCTGCGAGCTGGGGTCCGCAGCTGCCTCTGCTGGGGCGCTGGCCTGCGCTCTGCCCAGCTCCGGGGAACTTGTGCGGACTTTGCTCTGTTTAAATAGCCCGGTGGACGCTGTGCGATCGCTGGCAGGTTACTCTGTAACCGGGCTGCAAAGTGTAAATACAGGAATTGCGGTCAGTCTCCTCAACTCCTGGAGAGATGAGGCGGGGAGACTGACAGAGGTGGGGCGACCCCAGCGGCCGACGTTTCTGTGTTCAGTTTATCCAGAGCTGACTTGGAGCAGCCCGCTCTTAAGGGACATTCCTCCTGTACACGCCCATAGGAAGAATTTGTACTACAATTTCTAAATTTCAGGGTCAGAAATTACTTACTAGTCATCCTAACATATGTCTGTCTGGAAAAAATGTAAATTTTTCTGCATCCCTACTTGATACCACCTGTCGCTGGACAGGGCCTGAGGAGGTCCCCGGAGTGAGGATGTGGAACGCTTGACTCACCCCGCCCAGCGCTGTGCAGCTGCGGGTCACTGACTTCCACCTGGGACAGTGAATTCTCAGGGCAGTCAGGAAGAGGCATACAGGGATTTCTAAGGCAGAATTTAAAAGTACACACTCAGAAAAATAGAGTGCAGACCCTCAGAAGGGAAAGAGGTACCTTGTGGCCTGAGTCAGGCGTATTTGAGGGGCTTGAGGAGGGTCTGAGATGGGCGACCCAAGAGGTATATTCTACGGTCTGTTGGGTTTTGCCCATTTGGTGGCCTGTGTTAAGATGCAATCCATTTACATGTGTCTGAGGCTGAGATCTGCTATCATCTTAATAGTGTACTTTCTGAGAATGGGGTTGGTATGACAGAGTGCAATTTACAGCTAGAAGGCCCAGGCCCTGGGTCTCGTTTATAGGCTTGTTGTCTTTAAGAGCCTTAAGAACTTTTCCTGGAAGGCGAAAAAAGCTTTAGTAACTTTTACGTCCTGAAGTGTAGTTTTTCTTAAATAGCAGAATTTTACTGTTGCAATTTTCTTTGTTGCCTTTCTTTTCTATCCTACCCTCACTGCCAATACACACAGAAGGAGAAAAGAAATACTTCCCACGTGTAAGAAGTCCTCTGAGAGGTGCCTTGATTCATTCATTTTCCAACAGACAGTTCCAGCCAGCACACTGTAGGCTGGGTGCTGGGTGTGTACAGAGGAGGAAGTCACAGGGCCTGCCCTCTGGGGGTGGAGACTGACAAGGTAAGGGCACAGTGACAGTGCTGGAGTGGACGGTGACACGTCCCTTTTCCCCCGCCCTGGTGCCTCAGTCTGCGGCCTTAGCTCGCACGCTCAGCTCTGTGCTGTGCACCCTTCCCGCGGCCCTCGGTGACAGCCCTGTGGGTTGTGTGCCAATTTCAGAGTTTCAGGGAAAAGAGAAGTCTGCACACTGACACTGACTTGTTGCTTGTGTTGAGTAACCACTACCATTTTTGGTGAAAATTTCCAGTTATAGGACCAATCACTTATACTACCTGAAGGAGTCATTTCACTGTTCAGAGGACCCCCTGGAGAATTTGGAAAATGTTAAGGGAGACTGGCAGCCATGATCATTTGTCACTGACAGGCACCTCACGTGTCCCCTCACCTCCTGGCCCTGTCCCCACCGCCCTTGGCAGGTGGCTGGTGAGCAGCTGGCAGAGTCTGCAGCAGGTGAGCCGCTGTTGGTGCCTCTGGGTTCCTGCCTTCTCTGCATGGCCATGCAGAGTCCTTGGCCCAGCTGTGAAGTCTGCACCCCAAGTAGTAAAACCGGAAGGGTCTCTGGGATGCTTGCCTGGCACTCCTGCGCAGACAGAATAAGCATCTCAACTTTTGACAGAATCTGTAGAACACCCAAATGAAGCCTGCTTCTTTTGCACTTTATTTGCTCCCCTTCCTGCACCCCTCAAAGCCGTGAGTAGGGTTGCTGCTTTGATTCGTGCCTGCCTTCCACTGAGATGGCTCTCTAGTGCTCTTCAAGTGCCAACAAATTGCTAATTTGTAAAGTGTCAGTCTTCAAAGAACCTCCCTGAGCAGGTGACATTACCAGGGAGATGTCAGGCAGCCTGTTTGTCAAGTTCTTTGTTCCCCTTTCAATCCATTCAGCAAGGCTTCCGTGACTGCCTAGGCCAAGTTAAGCAAGGGGAAGAGACTGAAGTGTATAAATGACAATACGGTGAGCTCCCAGATCAACATACAAACGAAGTGCAAGAAGCACTGAAGAGAGACTGATTAATTCCAGACAGGGAATTGGGGGATTCATTAAACAGCTTCTGAGCTAAGCTGGGGGTGGGGAGGCGCAGCTGAGAAACACCTCCTCCCACACACGGAAGGAAGGAGGCAGGCAGGGTTGCTGGAGGACGGGAAAGAACAGAGAGGAGCCCAGTGACCTGGGGTTCAGGCCAGAGAGTGTCTGAAGGGCTGAAGCTAGGAAAATGGGTAGCTCTGAAGCGTACAGACTCTTGGCTGCCCTGCTAATGACTATGCTATTTGGACTCAGGGTCCAAAGCTCCTTGATCCTGGAAGTGTGTGATCTGACATGGGTTTTGAAGAAGGAAGATAAGAGATAAAACAAATTCCTAAACAAGTGTAATGGGTCTGAGCTAGGAGATGGCAAAGGGAGAGAGGGGAGGAGCAGGGAGGCTGCAGAGATGAAAGAACAGCCCTTTAAATAAATGGAGAAAGGTAGATTTCACTAGCAGTGCAAACAATCATGGAATACTAACTATATGTCAGACTCTATCCAGACTGTATCATTTTATTAAAGCCTCACAGTGGTCTTACAGAGGACAGACTCATTCACTATGCAAATGAAGACACGAGGCACTGGCAAGGCAAGTGCCTAGGACACCTACCAGTGACAACATGGGGTTCTAAGCCGGAGCCCGTGCCCTTCTCGCTGGGCCACGTCTGGCAGGGCGGTGCTGCAGGGAGACTGCAGCTGCGCCTGAGACCCGACCCAGGCAGGGCTGCATCCTGAGCCGGGAACGTGAGGACTTCCGCAGGCATTGCACTGAACGCCGTGTAGAGCCAGCTTTCAGCAGGAGCCAGGGGGTTGGGGATGTGGCACTCAGAAGACAGGACGAGGTTGGACTGTAGTGCTGGGGTTCACTCCTGCTGAGAGCTGGAGAGGGAGCACGCGTGATGGAAAAGGGAGACGAGCTGCTGGCCCTGAGGAGTGCTCTGCTTTGAGACACTAGAGTCAGGATAGAGTGAGGGAGGACAGCCAGGAAAAAGGAAAGCTTTGAGGTCGGGAAAGGAATCAGGACGTGGTGTGAGGCAAAGGATGGCAAAAGAAATTTCAGGAGGGAGAAGTATGGTTTGCTGGATCGGAGGCAATTCGGGTGAGTGTTGAAAGTTTTGAGAGAGCGTAATCTTGAGGGAGACTTAAAAGTTTTCTTTGTAAGTAGCAATTTGGGGATGTGACTGACATATAAAGAGCACAGTTTCGTATGTTCTGAGAAACTTACGGAACCCACCGGACAGTCACCACAATCAAACAAGGAGTGTGTCTCCCAACCCCGTCTCGGCCCTTTTTCTCTTTCCCACTTTCCAGCCCTCCAGCAGCCACTGCTGAATACACCCCTCATCTGACACACCGCCTGTGCATTAGTTTGCAATACATAAGAGTTTTGTAGGAATGGCCTTGCGCAGCATCCCTCTCTTTTGTCTAGCTCCTTTCATGCATAATTATTTAAAATTCATTCATGTTGCCTGTGCCAGTAACGTATTGCCTCACATTGCTGAATAAAGGTTTACTGTATGGATAACCCACTCATTTCTCCACTCATCTGTTGCTGGTCATTTGGGTTCTTTCTCATTTTAGGCTGCTGCATACAAGGCTACTATGACCATTCCTGTGTTCTTTATGTGGATGCGAGCTTTGATTTCTCTTGGGCGAGAACCTAGTAGACTAGCCGGATAATACAGCGGATATATGTTGACTTTTAAGAAATTGCCAGGCTATTTTCTTGAGCGATGATATCATTTTATATTCTGACCCACAGTGCATGAGATTCTAGTACTCAGCAGTTCCTGGCACGCTTGGTCTTTTCAACATTAGCCGTATAAGGTAACCACGTAAAGCAATATCTCACTTTGTTGTCCTTTGTCCTCCCTAGCACTGTCATGGGGCTGGGCTGGGTCTTCAGGTTCAGGTGCAATAAAGAATTTAACCCAACCTTTTAAAATAAGTTTGAGGGCTTGCTGGTCTCTCATCATGGCAGAAGAATTTTCAAGACACCTCAGGAAAAGAGACATGAGAAAGTTCATTAGAGATAGATATAGAACTCAAGGCGAAGCATGAGTGCTCAGAAGTATCAGAATGTTATGAGCTTGCTAGGGCATATTTTAAAGGGAGGTCTCCAAGGCAGGCGATCTAGGGTGTGTATTCTCACTGTCTGACTGCTGCAAGCCAATAAAGTTGAGATAATGTTTCAAGTTGAGATGTGCTGTCCGATGCAACTGTTTTCTGGTCTGGAGGAAAGGACAGCTTGTAGCTGCAAGTTATGGGCTAAAAGGACCTTTAAGAATTTAGCACTATTTTTTACAAGCACAGAAGGAGGGAGGTCACAAGCTAGGGTGGCTTCTAGAAGCAGGATAAAGGCTTGTCCTGAAGCTGCAGTTTTTCTTAGAAGTATAACTTTAAAATCTTGATTTCCTTGTCTCCTTTTTACCTACTTCTTATTTCTTCTGTCCTAACTTCAGGGTTGGGATTGAAACCAGGACCTCATGTTTGCCAGGCAAGCTCTCTACCACTGAGCCATATGACGAGACCATTTTTATTTTTATTTTGAGACAGGGCGTCACTAAGTTGTCCAGGCTGGCCTTGAACTTGAGATCCTCCCACCTCAGCCTGCGAAGTAACTGAGATTATAGGCATATGCCAACATGCCTGGCTATTCTGCACATTTTAAGAAAAAAAAAAAAGTGTTTTTTTCTTATTAAATTATACAGATTGTACCTTTTATGTTTAAGAAATCTTTGCTCAACCCACGTTCACAAAGATTTATTTCTATATTTTCTCTGGAAGTTTTATAGCTTTAGGGTTATATTTAGATCTGTGATCTAGCATGAATTAACTATTGTCTGTGGTGATAGGTA